GCCTCCCAGAGTGCTGGGATTACAGGCATGAGCCACCGCGCCCAGCCGTTGTTTTTTTTTGTGTGTTTCTTTTGGTTTCTATTTTTGTTTTTGAGATGGAGTCTCATTCTGTTGCCCAGGCTGGAGTGCAGTGGTGTGATCTCAGCTCACTTCAACCTCCGCCTCCCGGGTTCAAGCAATTCTCCTCTCTCAGCCTCCTGAGTAGCTGGGATTACGGGCATGCACCACCACACCTGGCTAATTTTTGAGTTTTTAGTAGAGATGGGGTTTTGCCATGCTAGCCAGCTGGGTCTCGAACTCACAGCCTCAAGTGATCCACTCACCTCAGCCTCCCAAAGTGTTGGGATTACAGGCATGCGCCACCTCGCCTAGCCCCTGAGCCCATTTTCTCAGCCTGTTTCCTGTACTGCTGCAGCCTCGCTCTACTGGCCTCTGCTTACGAAAGTGTCAAGAGTTAAAGCTCAGCCTCTTGGTGACGGACAGGAGGGGCAGCTGCTCTCTCAGACTCAGTTACTACACGATACACTCTCGGTTTGGAAACCAGGCCAGTAACCAAAGCTTTTGGGAACCAGACTGATTCTTTGCCACCAATACTGGAAGCAGATCCAGCCAGCTGTGCTTGGGGGCTGCTGGGGCTGTTTGGTTTGGTCAGCAGTCACTCCTGGAACTTCTGCTATGTGCCAGGCATGATTCCAGAGGCAGATACACTCATTCCCTGCCTTCGGAGCACCGGAGCTTCTCGTCCCCCTCCGGTCTCAGATGTCCCTGCTCAGATAACCCAGCTGCAGGTCTTGTCTCTGTTTGCTGCCCCAACTCTGTCCCTGAAGTTCCGCCCTCTAGGTTGACAACCACCCTGCTGCTGGCCAAGGAGCATGTCCAGACCTACAAGGTGCAGCTGACGGCTTAGGGCCGAGGCTGTCTCCTCTTGCGCCTCACACTGGCTGGAAAGCTGCTGGCTGGCACTGCAGCTGCCCACGCCTCAGGCCGCTGGCAGTGGGCAGGTGGATTGAGACTAGCTGCAGGTGCAGAACTGGGGAGGGAGAGCCCTGTGGGGGCCGTGATGCCTGGGCTGTGGACCCAAGCCCCTCCTGACCCCTCTGCTTGGCCCCATGGCTCAGTGCCTGGCAGAGAGGAGCTTATGGAGGGAAAGTGTGGCCAACGTAGGAGGTGGTACGTGAATAGGATTTAACGAAGCCCAGGTTCCACCTCCATGGGGACAGGCACAATCCCTCACACACCCCTCAGCAAAGGCCACCTGCCCTAAGCCTGCAGCCCATCTCCCTCTCCTTCCCCGGAGCCCTCTTGTCCCTGGTACTGGTGATGTCTGAGATTAACCTTTCTGTCCACCCTCCATCCCACTGTGTGTATCCCCAGAACCGCAGCTTCCTGATAAGAGCTAGCAGCTGCCAGCGAGAAGGCCCCAGACCCTGGCTGCCTCACTGTGTCCCTCTCTCTGCACCCTTTTCCAGATGACACATGGCCTTACTGCTCCTCCAGGAGCTACAGCCTCACTGAAGCCCCCACTTCTTGCTTTCCCAGTAGGGGGTGACTGTAGGACCTCTTAGCTTTCTCCATGGGGAGGGGTTATGAAGTAAGAGGCAGGCTGGGCTCGCGTGCAGAGACCTCTGCTGGGGAGACAGCTAAGAAGCGCTGCTCCCAGGTGTGCGTGATCTGCAAGACTGGCCCCTGCTGGCCACTGGGCATAGTGCTCAGATGAAGACACCAGGATCTGCTGGGGCGCATCCCAGAGAAATTCTGTGACTCTTTGCTTGGAGGGAGAGTGTCTGGTGGGATCACTGATAGCCAGGGGCTGCTGGGCCATCAGCAGGACCACAGGGAGCAGGAGTACCCTGCCCCTTCTCACACCACAGCCCCTTCTCACTCCACAGCCCCTTCTCACACCACAGCCCCTTCTCACACCACAGCCCCTTCTCACACCACAGCCCCTTCTC